AAAAAAAAGGAAAAAAAAAAAAAAAAAAAAGACAGAGAATAGCAAATGCTGACGAGGATGTGGAGTAAGGGGAACCCTCCTATACTGTTGGTGGTATTGTAAATTAGTGCAGCCATTATGGAAAACAGTATGGAGTTTCCTCAAACAACTGCAGATAGAACTGCCATATGATCCAGCAATCCCACTGCTGGGTATATACTCAAAGGAATGGAAATCATCATGTCAAAGGGATCCCTGCACTCCCATGTTTATCACAGCTCTGTTTACAATAGCCAAGAGTTAGAATCAACCTAAATGTCCATTGTCAGACAACCGGATAAGGAAAATGTGGCATATATACACAATAGATTTATTCTCTGCCATCAAAAAAGAATGAAATTCTGCCATTTGCAGCAACATGGATGAACTTAGAGAAAATTATGTCAAATGAAATAAGCAGGGCACAGAAAGAAATGCTGCATGTCCTCACTCATAAGTGGGAGCTTAAAAAAATAAATTTAAAAAGAAAGATATAACAGCATGCCAGCATGCACCCCCTTTCAGTCAGGTTTGGGTCTTTAGAAAATATTACATGAAAATGGCTACAAAAAGAGCTCTGGTCATCCTGGCTAAGGGAGCAGAGGAAATGGAGACAGTCATCCCTGTAGATGTCATGAGATGAGCTTGGATTAAGGTCACCATTTCAGGTCTGGCTGGAAAAGACCGAGTACAGTGTAGCCGTGATGTTGTCATTTGTCCTGATGCCAGTCTCAAAGATGTAGAAAAACAGTGACTATGTGATACGGTGGTTCTACCAGGAGGTAACCTGGGTACACAGAATTTATCTGAGTCTGCTGCTGTGAAAAAGATACTGAAGGAACAAGAAAACAGGAAGGGCCTCACAGCTGCCATCTGTGCAGGTCCTGCTGCTCTGTTGGCTCATGAAATAGGTTTTGGAAGTAAAGTTACAACAAACCCACTTGCTAAAGACAAAATGATGAATGGAAGTCATACAGCTGCTCGGAGAATCATGTGGAAAAGGACGGCCTGATTCTTACAAGCCGAGGTCCTGGGACCAGCTTTGAGTTTGCTCTTACTATTGTTGGGGTGCTGAGCGGCAAGGAGGTGGCTGACCAAGTGAAGGCTCAACTCGTTCTTAAAGATTATAGCAGAAAAAGTTGACAGTGAGTTAGAGAAATAGGCCTTTTATAATCCATTCTCACTGTGTTCACTTAAAAAACAGTTGGTTAGGTTTCTTTTTTTTTTTTTTATTTTGTCAATATACAATGTAGTTAGTTATTGTGTCCCATCACCAAGACCTCCCTCCCTCCTCCCTCTCCCCCCTCCCACCCAGATGTGTCCCCTCCATTTTCTCGTTGTAAGATCTTCAAAAAAAAAAAAAAGTTGAGGTTGTTGAATCTTCCTCTCCCCCTCCCCCGGTTTTTTGTTGTTGTTGTTGTTGTTGTTGTTGATGTTGTTGTTGAAAAACGGTTGGTTAGTATGCCGAGAAGCTGTCATTACTGCTTCTGTGGAGTATAGTTGTAAAGTAACAACTACACAGAGATTTCTCAACCTACAAATTGTGTCTTTACATTTCTGAACCTTGTTTGCAGAATAACAGGACATTTAGCAAACTAAAAAAAAAAAAATAGGAAAGAAAGAATGATACAACAATCACTCACAATAGTTTGTTGAACTTTCAAAAGGAGAGAACAGAACTGAGGCCACCAAAAGTAGAAAAGGGGGAGGGGAGGGGCGTTAGCGAGAAATTGGTAAAGGGCCACAAAAAATGATTTCATTGTGTAATGTTGAATATACAAATTATCCTGATTTGAGCATCACATATTGCACACAGGTATTGATATTCAGTGCTGTACCCCACAGATACATAAAATCAATTATGTTTCAATTAAAAAATGTAGTAAAATAAAAAAATAATAAATTCCCCTGCTTAAAGGGGGGAAGGAGAATTTCATGCTGGAGATGGTGAAGATAATCTTTTGGGAATAAAAAGGGATACTAACCCAAATAGAACTGAAGGCACTCACACATGTGGCAAGGTCTGCATGCACCCAGACAGCTCATAGAAGGATGGGATGAAGGGATACGGGTTACACCCACATTACACCCACCTTGTTTTCCTGATTTCTCCCAGCTCAACCCCCTTTTCTCCCTTCCCTCCTCTTTTCACTCTTTCTCTGTTTTTCCCATGTCTCTCATGTTCTCATTCATTAAGCTGAGTGGTATCTATGAAAAAAAAATTCAATGGTACTCACAATGAAGACGAAACCCCCAAGGATACTTTTCCAGCCATGGCTGACTGGGAGAATTTGAATGGAATCCATTTCCACATACTCATCTCTCATATGTGTGGTTTCCTAAATTTATATCTGTCCTCCAATGACCATGGAGCACATCCAGGTTCTCTTCCCACCCTTTTCATTATCAACTCGTTCCTATTTAGCCTGCAGAACCAAACATTTTTCCAAAAGTGCATTGTGACTTTATCAGCCTTCAG